CGACGATCGCGATCTCAGCTGTTTTAAAACGATTTCGGGAAAAAAAATATTTTTAAATACATTTTCCCATTATTCGTTATCACGCATTGACCTGTGCTAAATGTGTGACAAATTTAAGATCACGCATGTGTCTTCTGCAAAATGCGTGTTTTATCCAAAATCTGGAAATGCGGGACCGTCCCGCACGATGCGATGAGACGGTTGGTAAATAGCCTACGATTACGTCCAATTGATTTTTACGAGGATTTACAAAACGTAACTCTCTCTCCCAGTTTCATAATTTCCAGCTGCTTTTATCACCGGTCGGGATAAGGGTCGATATCACCCCCTCCCTTGCCTCATCAATTTGTTTTTATAATTGTGTCACGTTAGGCCTACACTTTTCCCAAACAGTGCATCATCTTAGATGTAAATAAAGGTTAAGTTTCTCTTTAAATTAATTACGTTTCTTTATTTTTAAATAGGCTAGGTCTACTCCCTATCCGGAATTTTTGAAACCCCTCCCTCCCTCGTCATATTTTTTTAGAACTAGTAAAAATAATCTTTTTTTTTTCCTGCCCTAAATTGTGGTTGCATTGTCTGTTTTTTCTCGTACAGGCCTATGTTGGGGGTTTACAACGTTAACTTAGTTGTGAGATATTTCTATAAAGTACACTGATGATGGTGGAACCGACTGGGGACAATGCAGAGAGTTCTTGGCCCCTACTCTACTGGGGAATTTGGCCCAGGACATTTGACAGGTCGGGCAATGTTTAAAAAAAGCATTCACATTGTCGAAAAACAAATGCAGTTTTTTCAGTTTAATTCATATATTTTCAGGCAGAGATTATCCATCCTTTGGGGTTACTCGTTAAGGATACCTGACATGTCATACTAGCTCCCCATCAGCTCGCCCCCGCGTGCACTATACTCGCCTACGCTACACTGATAGCTAAGGCACACATTATATACCGTACATTACTTACTCTTATTTCTGAAGCGAAATAAGAAATTAAAAAACAAGTTTTCAATTATTTAATTACATTCGATAGGACTTTATTACAAAAAATATGACCCCAAAACCACGGCCATGTGTTACTTATAAACTGAATAAAAAGTGTTACCAGATACATCAAGGTTCGATTAACTTCAAAATCTCATGGATCCTTTTCGGTGGTTCGGGAATACAATTCATTCTAAATATTCATGGTTTAATAATTGGGTTGTAAAAGAAAACGTAGTATTATAAAAGTCTATTATGAATTAAGGAAAAATAAAGTAAGCCAGCACTTGCATGTTAGTAAAGTTTATTATGTACATCGTTTTAATTTGTACTGTAATTATTTAGTGCCAGGCAATTAACAACAATATAAAAGAAAATTTAAGAAATAAACTATAACCTAATGGGTTACGGAGAATGAAGTGAATATTTAAAGTATGTTTTAATCCTTAATCAAATTTAGTAGTGTATAGTGGAAAATTACAGAAGCCTGATGTCATTAGATACAAAACTTCAATTGAAAATAAAACTATTGGCTCTGTTTCTTAAAACCATGGATTTAGAAGATATAAAAGTTGGCTGTGTTCTGGTTCTATTAAGCGTGTTTCACATTTAAAGTATCCACATTTCCTTTAATAAATCGACGTTCCATACGTACACGAGGGCGAAATATCTTATAAGGAAGGTCATTCTAAATAGCCATCATCAACCACGACACGATGAGAATTGTGCCACCCCAAGGTGTCATGCGAACGAGAGACGAATCTCCGGTGAGCCCTTGGTAATAACATGTTCCACAGAAAATCAGCATTCCGACACCCATCAATGTTCCAGCCTAGGAAATAAAATCAATCAATCAGTCATTAATTAATACTTTAATGGGTGTTATATGAGGAGGAACTTGCTTAGTATTAAGTTGTCTCCCACAGGACCAGAGTGTGGTGCATGCCTCCAAAAAATTGGCAATAAGGGTCTCAGTAGTCCGAAAAGGGGTCCGAAACAAATGGTAACTTTAAGCCTCTGGCAGGGTCCCAGAATAAAATCCCTGGTTGGGGATCATAGTGTGAGATTAGGTCTATAATGGCCAAAAAATGTGATTTTCGACTTCAATATAACACCCTTCCTCCCTCTCCCTCCACCACAACACAGGACTATGTCTCCTAAAAAGGGAGAATGTTTAAGTCTTGGGAAAACTTTCATGAGACAAAATATGTAGAGTTAATGGATTTTCCAATAACATTTATTGATACAATTTACTCAGAATACGAAACTAACAATATAATTGAATAAATGAGTAATAAAGAGCATATTTTCACTATTCTCTCAAGAACTTACCAAAAGCGGTCGATTGCACAGGGGCATTGCTAACAGTGCGAATGTGTGGTAAAAATGATAGCGATTTGCAGTATCAAAAACCTAGTTAAAAACAAATTTCACGGTAATTTTTGGTCTATCTTCCTTCAGAACTACACTACAAGTTATCAAATATGTTCTTTCGAAACATTTAATATGTCTGGAACAAACGGAATTATTTGTTTGTCAAAGTTGTTAAAGTGAAGACGTTTTTTACTGTGGTAAAAGCTATACTAGGATCAAAGCAAGAAGTTGACGATGTTACCTGTTTATTGTGTTCATTTTCTTCCTTATTCTTTAGCACTGTAAATAAGAATAATAATGAATAAAAGACCCTATCTATATCAATTATTATACTGCTACTCAATTTATATTCCACCTGGCCCTATATTAAATTAATGATAAAAGGTCGGGATCACTAATAACACAACACTAGCAAAATCCGAAAAGTCTAGTAATAGCGGTAGCCTACTGTAGAGGATTCTTACTGCTGACAACCACTGCATAACAGCTGCTGCTGCTCTAGCGTTTATTATAGAATAGATACACGGCTAGGCATAGATAGCCGGCTAGGCCCTAACTTTAGTTAGGCCTAATACTATATAGATAGGCTAGGTCGTATTCCGGGGAAGTCCAAGCGAGATCTGAATAATCATCACAATCAATAACTAACAACTACATATGTACCGTGTGCTCCATATGCACCTAAGGTTACGGCAATAGCACCGGATATGCCAGCTAATCTAACAAATATATTCCCTGGATGTATAATGGCCATCTTCCTGTTATATTGGCTTGTCAGGTGATCAAAATAGTGTACGGTCACATGATCAAAACAAAGTACCGTACGCGACAACATGGCCGTCTCTTCAACTAGATTATTCGCTAGACTTGCTGGGGTATCCGGTGCTTCTGCGATTGGTTTTGGCACGTATGGAGCTCATGGTATGTTTTATATTTTGTGAGGAACATTTTTTGTAATATTAGAATATGTAATATTGCTAATTCAAAAGCACTATAACACTTCAATTTATCAGTTTTTAAGAAGTCACACTCACACAACAGACCACCTCCTCCTACTAATACTACACTACGTACGTGTTGTACTGCACGTAGTACTAGGCCTATAGTTGGCCTAGCCCAGTAGCGGGTGCGTACCTTTGGTCCGAAAGGTCTTTGCCGAATGGTCTTTGGTTCGAAAGCCCGTTGGTCCGAATGGTCTTTGGTCCGAAGTTCCTAATTTTAGTTGGGTGAGTACCTTTGGTCCGAAGGCCCGTTTGTCCGAAGGGTTTTTGGTCGAAAGGCCTGTTTTTCCACAAAAATATTCATTTACACCACAAAACAAACGAACCGAAGCCGCTAAAACATTGGCCAGTTGACGTTCAACCTGCGTGAAAGTAGCCTAAAAAATGTGTAATTGTCTTTTCACGTGAAGTCTAAATAAGGTTTAATTATACCTCGCATCAAGTGAAAATTTGCTCATAGGTTTGCTGAGCTGAGCATCTTGCACTGTCGGAACAATCAATAATTTTGTATTGTTACTGTTAGCTAATATAGGCCTAGGTCTATCATGTGTTTTCTTGTTTTATATTTTTGTCCAAACTTCGGACAACAACCCTTCGGACCAAAGAACCTTCAGACCAGATGACCTTCGGAGCAATGCACTGACCTCCTAGCGGCTAGAGCCATGCCTTTGGTATAATAGTACATACAGGTCTACTGCTACATGGTAGTCGTCGTTGAGTGGGTGGGGCGGTTAAATCGTACATGTGTAAGTTGTTACTCAAATATGCCAATATTTTGATTGTAAAAAAAAACAGGAGAGTTTGATGCGAAGCACCACCGAATGCTGCCTGTGGGGATCGGGTGTGTCCCCATTATGGGGGTCCAGGGGTGTATTAGCCCCTGGAAGCTTTAGCTAATATATTATATAAGGGTAAAGCTCATCCTATGATGTGTATTCCAATAATGAAATTGTCATTACAAGACAAAATCTGGATTTATTTGTCATTATAAAATGCATTAACAATGGGCTTAAAATTAAATTGATACAGATAATTACTGGGCCGGTATTTTATTTTTAGCAAATAATTTTTACGGTCTGGTCCAGGTACGTCACTATTAAATGATCTAGTCATAATTATTATTTACTTTATTCAAAAACGATTTCAGACAAACGGAACCACTCACAGAGAGGCGATGCTCTTGCCGAGCAAAATATTGAAAGAACTTAAATATTGAGGTTTTTCATAGTATTCTATTGCAAAATAGAGCATGTGAAAAACGTGAGTAAAAAATCACCAAAACAGGAGTCTCCCAGCCAAAATGGGAGTGTTTGGCATTTACAGTATGGTAAATCTACAGTTACGCACTTCCTTGATGAACAATTAATGTAAATTGATTATAACAAATCTATACTTTCAATTCAACAGGATATTGAGCATTGAAGTATTGGTATTATTTGTCTGATTCAGTGTTTTTGTTAAATATACAGACATTTTTTTCTTCAACAGTTTTGAAGAACAAAGAAGGCAAAGAACATGAAATGGTAGTAAGTAACTTGTTGAAATCTTAAGCAATTCTTAATTCTAATTGGAAGTCATTCATTGTCATCAGCCCAGGCAGGGAGGTATAAAAATAAGTACCCCTTGGTCAGCCCACCAGGGTTGGGGCTGAGGTATGAAATTTTATGGCTATGGACTCTCCCTCAGCCAGCGGTCTGTCAGGTTTAATTAAGTTTTTTTTTTTCTCCATTTTACAAATTTGGGGGATGGGGATGCCCAGGCCAGTTGGGCAGTGGCGCTTCTAGGGTATATTTTCTGGGGTGGGGGCTAAGCTGTCCAACAGGAGGGGTTGAGCATTTTTTTGGTCCAACTGCCCGACAAGCTTGGCCAGTGGGGGCTTGACTTGTCCGATTGGGGACTTAAGCCCCCTGCCCCGCTGCTGCCACTGCAGCTCCATGGGCCCTCTTTGAATCCGATGATGTTTATAATTCACTAACCTTACTACAGATATATTTATGTATTTACACAGGCATTTGATTCTGCAAATAGGTACCATTTCTACCACTCTATTGCTCTCCTTGGTGTTCCAATGTGCCGGAGACCAAATCTAGTAAGTTAATGAATCTCAGACTAGGCCCAAAAAAAATTTATTTGTTTACCCTCCTCCATTCGCCCCTAACTCACCGAAAAAAATAGGGAACACAGAAAAACAAAAAAACTTAGTTTTTTTTTTAGCTTTTTTCTTTACGAATTAAAAAAAAATGCAAGTAAATTTTTCTTTATTTTTTGCCAGATACCCTACAAATTAGTCTAAAATTGTTGTCTGATGTAAGATATTGCAATTCTAGGCCTCTGTGGGTTATTTCCTCTGTATCTTAAAAAAAAACAAAAAAAAACTTTCCACTCGCCCCTTTTTATCATTTAAAAAAAAGAAGGGCAAACAATTTATTTTTTTAGGCCCTAGCATATATTTTTGCGAAAAAAATATTGTGACGGAGGCGAGAATTCAATTCAATAAAAAAAAAATGTTATTGTATGTAAACAGTGTAGTAATGAGAGGTTTAAATGCTTTACATTTATATAATTTTTAAGCAATAAATATAATTGTAATAAAAATAAGGAAAGCTTATTTTTTTCAAAAATTTCCATTTTGTCTTGGCAGCGGGTTCGCTAATTGGCCAAAAATAAAATCATGAAGCCCCACTTCACTTTTACGAAACCCTCCCCCCCCCCCCCCCCCCCCCCCCCACCATTTCAAGACTACTAGATATGCCACTGGAAATGAGCAGTTCATTCTCTCCTTATGAAAAAAATGTTTTAAAAAATTTATACCAGTTTTTTCTTCTTTGGTTTGCTTTCAGGTTGGAGGATTAATGGTGACTGGAATGACCTTCTTTTGTGGATCCATGTATTACTATGCAATAACAAGTGATGCAACATACATCAAACTAGCACCAACTGGGGGTGTAATACTCCTTGCTGCATGGATTGCTATGGTCTTGTGAATAAATGAATGTTGATAATGTACTTTTCCACTAAGCCCGGCCGCCTTAATATGGTCTCACAAAATTGTGTAAACATAGAAACGTATGAACCTGTCGTGGGCCAACATGTGTGTTTGTGGGACATGCGTATTTTTTACTCTGTTCTGATTGATTACTGTTTGATTGAAACCCCACCCAGAAAAATCCATTTAATAGATTTAGTTTGTTTTTATTTAATATGCAGACTGACATTTGCTTTTCTCAGAACAGTCAAAAAGCTACAGTATTTAAGTCTGTTCAGAACATTCTTTTTGATTTGTTTTTCATGTATGATTTCAACACCAGTTCTCATTATCTCAACGAGGAAAAGCGTTATGTTCTGTTTTACAGATATTAAGTCTAGTTTTTTGGGTAGCTCTATTAAATTAATTTTTGCTGTAATTGTGTATGAAGTTTATTTTAATTCATCAACTATTAGATATATTGCCACTTAGAAATTCAAGAAAAAACTAAAAAATAACATTTAATCGTTCATTTAAAAGAACCACAGAAGTTTGCAATTAAGAAAGAGGGAAAATTTAAGTTTATTATTCTTGTATATATTTTTTGTCTTGGACAACAAAAATCACCGATTTAAGATTAATTCAAGATTGTTATATGTTGATATCTAAAACATCTATTGTGATACTACATGTACATCTACTTTTATAGAGAACAATATACTTTGGATAAACAATTAAAAAAAATACACAATAGCCAAATAAAAATATTATTAGTATTTTGGAATAAACATTAAAAGCACTTCTATTATGTGAAATTGGGAAAATAACATATTTAGCGATATTCTGGCTCAATTTGATGCCTGTATCATACTACAAACATCCTGATATGCTAGGTCTTGACTGAATAAAAATTATGCATTTTAAAAATTTGTTAGCACCAATAAGAGTATTCATGACATTACCATTTTTAGTGGGTACTCTATTATACACAAGATTGACGTGAGGTACAATGGATTATTTTTAACTTAAAACTGCCACGGACACAGCTGATGGTCGTCCAATGGTTATCCACCTCGTATTTCATTTTGTAACCACATAATAATTTACAATTATTTTTACTATCAAACATATACAATTCTAACCTGTGCTTAACATAGAAAGACTTAATAAAACTAGTAGGTACTGTAATAGTATTTTGAACATATGTGTGCTACAAACATTCTATTAGTGAACAGCACTACGTATTGGTATAACACACTTCATTTTGATCAAAAGCAATTACACTATTATTACATTACACTATTATTACATTACACTATTATTACATTACACTATTAATCAAATTGAGCTACTGTATATCTAATTTTATTGCAGATGTCATAAAACATTAAATAAAATCCAAAACGTTAGTTAACTTTAAAAGATAATTATATTTTCATATAATTTAGTTTTTAAAATGGTTCCATTTCATGTCTATTAAGACAATATACTGTACATATACATACTAACTTTATACTACTATTACATTTGAAATACTTACACAAACATTTAACTTAATAATTTTCTGCGGGTTCAATCCAGCAGGAATCAATTTGCACTTCAACTTATCAATCAACCAGAAAAATGAAAATGAGTTCTACCATCAGAAAAATTATCACCCACACCAAGAACTAGACACAAAGTACTCTGTGATTACAGTAGTGTGTAAAATCAGAAATTTCATTTTTCATTGCACATACCGGGTTTCAAGCATTTTAGTATTCTTTACCACACAAAAGAGTTTCATTACTGCCACAGCATGTTTTATGTTGCTTGTTGGTGACAGTGATGAAATGTTGAATAACATTTTTCAGTACTGCTGATCTAACAGCTAGTACATAAACAAAAAGTATCTCACTTTTTACGATCTATATATTGAAAATCAAAGACACTCCCGTCTTTAATCTTGTTTAAAGCTTCCTTCGCAGCCAACTGATGGGCATTACCCTTTGATTTGGATAGCTTCTTTGCCTCAATTTGAAGAAGCAAATCCAACGTCAATGTACAAGACCAAGTATTATCCTCAACGTTAACGGTTTGAAAATCAAGAGCCTCCCGAGGGAACAGTTCCAATAGTTTTCCTTTACTATTTTCATCATCTTTCTTGTTTGATTTCAATTGAGTTAACGCTTTTTTAGAAGCCTCCTGCTCTGCCTTTTTCTTATTGTTACATTTTCCCTCACTTTTGACTTGATATTTATAATGAAATTTGACAACACCTTTATAATATTTGTTACCGTTGTATGTTACTTCTGCAGTATTGTTGTAGTCTGGTGTCTTTTTCTCACCTTGCTTCTGTATAACCTGCTGTAGTTGGTTCTTGTAAATAGTTTCAATCTCAATGAGAATATCTGTCAAATAAAGACAAAGAATTATTATAGTTTATAGGGTCAGAATTTGGGTTTCACACCTATAATGCAATCAATAATGAAAAATTAAATGAATGTACTCCTAGGAAAGACTGATATTATATTCTAAGAACAAATGATCTCATAAATATTATTATTGATTATTTGATTTTACCATTATCATTCTCCAATTGATGATCCACTTTGGATGGTAACTCTTTTGTACTAAGAGGCATAGCTCCTTGATTGGTTGGCACAGTCCCTGTACTTGGTGGTGTGGTTTCTTGACTGGATGGCACAGCACATGCACCGGGTGGCACAAATCCAGTGCTGGATGGTATAGCTGCTGCACTAGAGGGTGCAACATCTGTGCTGAATGGTAAAGCAACGGTACTGGATGTTACTGCTCCTGTACTGGGTGGAACTACTCCAGAACAGGATGATGAAGCTCCTGAAATTGATGGCAGTGTCTTTGCAGATGACACAGCATCTGAATGTGATCGCACAGCATATGCACCAAATTCTTCAGTTGATGACATAGCTGCTGCACAGGAAGATACAACACCATCACTGGATGTCAAAGGTCTTGCAATGCTTTGTACAGCACCACTTTTCGATGGCACAATTTCTGTACTGGATAGTACAGTTTCTGTGCTTGTTGGCTCATTTCTTGGGTTACTGAAAAATAATTTCTCTATTGCTTTTAATGCTGCATTTTGTTTGGCAGACTTTTTACCTTCTCCAATCTCTCCTTCAAATGATTTCTCTATGCCATCAATCTTCATTACGCAAGTAGTAGAGTAACCCTTGCCTTTCACCTCTGTCTCTGTGTACTTTACAATCTGGTATTGGTTGTCTTTATCACAATGTTCTTTAAGATATTGTGCAGCAGTCTTATTTAAAGCTGAAAAAAATAATATCAAATTTAGATGGAAAAAATACCCCTCACATACCTCTGTTGTAGGACCTAATCCAATGTTTTCTACAAACAGACTCAGCATAACAAAAACAGTTACATAATTAAAGCCCTATTTATATATTTTGTTTAACATTAACAGTTGTACAACAACCTTATATCAACACCAGCGTACCAGCGTAAATTAATGGGATGTTTAAAGCAAAATGAGTATTTTGGGTTTTTTTTATTCAATATTTCACATGGAGGCTCCTCACAAGGCACAGCCTTAGGAACTCCAAGCTTATTAATACAATTATCTTCAGCGTGGCAGTGTGAAGGTTAAAAAATATCACAATAAAAAAACTAAATTGTATATAATATTCAAAGATAAAGAAGCGCCTTTGGCTAAAACATGGGTTACAATTGTGTCGACAATGACTACTGTGTATACAAAAGTGCGTCAAAGAGGCAAGAGAGAAAACAGATCCCAAGAACAATGATTTTGAACAAAACCATACTTTATTCTTAAACAGGCTATGTTTTAAAGATGTGACAAAGGTTTCAAATTAGCAGCCAAGTTCAAGAACAATGAAATTAAAAACTCAGCGCTGAATTTTGTCATGCACAGAATTAAAATGGTTGGGGGCTCCAGCCAAGACATGGCAGCAGTATGCAAAACAAGGCCTTATTGTACAAATTACTATAATTGTAAAATTACTATAATTACTCTTAAGATAGCTGGTCACATTAGCATATCCATGCAGATTGTTTTCCGGTACTTCACTCGACTTGGAAGATGCTTCTGGCTTTTCTTTTCCAGCTGGTTCATCATTGAGCTGTTGCGTAGGCTTGGTGATGTCTGTTGCATTCTCAGTTCTACTTGAAGAAGCTTATGAAGAAATAATAATATATCGGTATAATAAATTAATGGAAAAATCATATCAATGAAAAAAAATCATTTACAATCGTGACATAATCATTTTCATTTCCCCACAATTTTCAATCCCAGAGCAGACACAAATTTTTTATAGTGTTAACTCCACCCTAAGAAGCAATGATAATTTAGGAACTTGAAAGGCTTTTTTAATCAACTTTAGCACCTACCAGTCTGTAAAAACTACATATAATTTTTTTCTCCAAAGAAGTGCATTTATTTCTGACCCGGGGAGAGCTAGTGCCTAGGCTCCCACACTATCAGGCGCCAGTTATCACACCCCTGCCAAATTTCCCATCACCTGCCCAATCAGCCCTTTCCCCATTGGCTTCCCACACCAATATTTCCTACGTACAATACTGCAAGAGTGGGATTCAAACCCATGTCTCAAAGTTGAGATACTGAGAGATGGGCCTAGTAACATGAATTACCAATTAGTAATACGAATTGTATACAATAAATGATACTCTCTTACCTAACAAACCGTAAAAATCCAATGCTTTTTTAGCTGCTTTCTGTTCAGCCTCAACTTTCCTTTTAGAAGGCTCATCAGTTTCAAATGTTTTTCCATCCAGTTCAAGAGTACAACCATGCCCTTGTTCTGTAAAGACCAATTATTAATCATTAATTATAACATTATAACTCATAATAATCAAAATTAGATATTTTTTTGACAATTATTTCTTGGTAGCCAAATTCCATATTATTATCATTTTTTAACTTAAGTCTGAACTATTGCTTTTTTTTTGCCAATGTTTTGACCAAAATGAGGAGAGACAACTACAGTTATATATGCAAGTACTGGCATTATTTCGTAAAGTCAGCTGACAGCCTTATGAGAGAGCAGCTTAGCTCAGTCGGCTAACTGGTGGTAGCCACTGTGTGTGCGCTGAACCGTGGAGATCTGTAGGTCCCCGGTTTTAATTCCCATCACTGCCTCTCCTTGTATTTTGGCTGGAAGGCTGAAATACAAGTTATAAAAGTGCACCGTTTAACGTTTAAGCTGTTGGTCCTGTGTGCATTTATGTCCCATGTGCATGTTAAAGAACGCAGTACATTTTTCGGAAAAGAGTAGGGGATTGTCTCCCAGTGTACTGCCCAATCACCACCAGTAGGACCCCACTGGAAATAAGTCTTCTTCTAGACTTTCCTGGGCTATCCTTGGTATTTACACAATTCCTCAGTTCCTTCAACCAAAAGTTTGTTCATTGGCACAGAATAATAATTTTGTTGAGTTTACATGGTCTAACTTTTCTTGCCCTTACCAAAAAATTTTTCATTATAAACTGGACAAAGCCCATGTTTGTCGCAATACTCTTTAAGACAATTCTTGTACGACGGCTGTTGACTACTAGCACCTGAAACAAAGAACAAATTCATGCACTTCAGTATAAAGTGCTATATACTGTAAATCCAACCACATTACATTTTATTCGCACAAATTTTCATCAATTTTCAAAAGAAATATAGTAGGGTACTGTATTTCCATAAAACTTACTTCCTTTATGGTCACACTTACTGCAAATAAACATAAGATTAGTTGGTTTTTCTATTTCTTTTTAAAATATAGACCTCCTTTAACATTTTAGCTCAGCCTCAATTTGTTCTTATTTTATTCTTAATTCAAGCAATTTCAGCCTCAGTGTTCTTATAAAATGCGTTCTTACAAAAGAAAATGTGTAATATTAATAGCATAATGGCTTAATGTATGTAATTCACAGTTTTTTACGTTTGTATAATTATTATTACTATCTTTAATAGCAGTATATCATAATTTAATGATAATAATGATAATAACAAAAAAATAATAACAATTTAATAGCTATAAAGAGCAAACCTTGTTTATTCTGTATGGATAATAATTTAATAATAATAAAAAATTTAATAACTATAAAGAGCAAATGTAATAACCTTGTTTATTCTATATGGATAGCATTATTAAGTTGAAATAGATAATCAAAAGTATTTTAGTTTTTTATTTAAAAAAAAAATTATAGCTTTGTAAGTTACTATCAGTACAGTAATTCATTTCTTATAACAATATTTAGATACTTAGCTGCCTCCATTTGTATAAATATTTGTGTTACTTGCAAATGATTTAATAAAGATTTAATATCAAAGAATGATAAATCTTGATGTAATCCTTGTATTTAAATTATTGCATTTAACGCCTGATGTAAGTGCTGTCTCTTATACACATCTTACTGCAGGGGAAAGTGTCCAGGGAGTAAATGTCCGGGGAGAAACCAGTCTGCTTCCCAATCTTTTAACTCATAAAAATATTTTTCTCATTGCACTCATAAACATGCATTATTTGTTTAACATTGCGCTCATGCTTTACATGTTTGTTCTTGAGTATTTTGTGGGTACTTATTTGATACCTTTTCGTTTTGCTTTTTCAAGCGAATCTAGTCTGCTGTCTATATTGCTGACTTGACCCTCAACCGTTGACAAACGTTTTTCAAATATTTCAGTCAGCCGCGCACCAAAGGTTGTCTCCAAATCAGGGTTGTTGTTGAGAAACTCTTCAAAATCCCTTTGTAGGTCTTGTTTTTCCTGTTAAATTATCAGCAAAAATAGTTTAATGATCATGTTATTAAAATTCCTTCATCTAATTGGACTGCAAATCTTTAACACTCATCTGATTAGACAAATGTGTCTAACACTCAGACTGGTATGTTCAGTGTTCACCTGATTGAACAACACATTTCTAACACTCATCTAATTGGATAAATAATCTTCAATGGTCATCTGATTGGATATCAAATCTCTAATACTGTACACATGTAATTGGTTAATTAATTACTCACCTGATTGGATAACTGATCTTCTATATTATCAAGTCTTTGTTCTAAAGCTTTGAAACGCTCAGATAAAAGTTCTGTCTCCAGCTGTTGCACGTCAATTGCTTGTAGTTGAGTTATTGGATTGGAGGTTCCACTAGGGCTATCACTATGAGAGAAAGCAAAAACAAATAATAATTATTAAATCGACGTAGGACTGTAGTCATGGAACATCACAGCATTGTTCCAACACATTTAATTGTCTGATTCACATGCTGTTGCAAGTTGTTGAGAGCAGCTTAGCTCAGTCATCTATACTACTATAATTTTATCTAGTGCATACAATGGTACAATAATCTATTCAACATCTGTGGTCAAAAAGGGGACCACAATTTTAAAAATTTGGACTACAAAAGTTAATAAAAATATTTTATAAAAATACAGAGTGTTAGCATCTGATTTTCTGGCAAAATAATCAAACTTCAAAACCCCTCCATCCCTGACACCCCCACCCTCTCCCAGAGGGGGGACTCACAGGAACTCTGATATTTAGTAAACTGACTATCCATTCCTACCTACTGTAAATCTACAGAATTTTAAATGAAAATACATGAATCAAATATAAATCAAATTTATATAGACATCCCTAGATAGCTTGCTATCAGAAGAGTCTTGAGTGTCATGTTTATAACTTTTCTGGTTTTAACAGACCAAAGGAACATGATAAACTTTTCTAGAAATGCTCTGATTGGATACAAATCCCATTCAAAATCCACACAGGCCCCCACAATCATACGAATAATAAACATGGAATATTTGTAAAGGCAAAGTAAAATTCGTATACCTTTCATCAAAGAGCTGACATATTTATCTATCAAAGAAAATCAAAACTAGCTTCAAAGATATAAAATTATTAAATCATTCCACATAAAAAATTTACTGTACTACAATGCACCCTCCAATTCCAGACCCCTCTAATTCTAATTTGAGACCACTTTTCCAAAGATCCAAATAACTGTCTTCATACTTTTAACACCAAGCTAGCCCTTTAATTGGAGACCAACTCTGAGACCACCCCAAATTATCAGGTCCTAAATGTGGTTTCGAATTGGAACATGAACTGTACTTCGAAAACACCAGTACAGGTATTGAAACTATCTTATTAAAAACATGTCAGATTTTCTTTTTTCTTTTTTTGTTAGCCTACCTTATACATGTATGTGTGCATGTTTTAATATTTGGGTTAAGAGTTTGCAGTGAGGGATAAATTCTTATTTTTAAAAATATTTCATGTTTAAGAGCATCACAGCTCTGGCATTTTGCACTATATAAGTCTAACATATATTATTATTATTATATAATAACAAATATACTCATGTGATTGGATAAACTATCTCAATTGCTCAACTGATCCGACTGCTTAAATATGACACAAGAAATGTATGTCCCATACCTTTGAGTTACACCAGAAGATCGTTGATTATCACAGACATTAAATTCAAACTTCTCCAACTGAAAGTTAAAGTTAAAACAAGATGAAAGTAGTAGTGCTTTCCCAGGCTGTTCTCACAACAACGAACACCAAACCCATGCTTATACCATAGAGAAAATAGAACACTGTTCTATTTTCTCTATGCTTATACACTGAACAGTTCGAAAATGGTGTACATTATGGAGATCACTTGGTCCTCGGTTCAATTCCCATCACTGCTCTCCTTGTATTTCAGCTGGAGGGCTGAACGCAAGTTACATTAATAGTGCACCATCTTTCGGATGAGACGTTTAAGGCATTGGCCCTGTGTTTATTATTGCCCATGTACTGTACATGTTAAAGAACGCAGTGCACTCTTCGGAAAAATGAAGGGCAATGTCTCCCAGTGTACTGCCCAATCTCCACCAGAAGGACCCTACTGGAAATAAGTCTTCCTTCAGATTTTCATGGGTTTTCCTTGGTGTTTACGGCAAATAAATCAATCTCATTTAAAATGTATTAAATTTTCAGTAGCCGACATTTTTTTTATATAACACTATGAATTATGAATGATTCATAGGATCATCAAATTTGACTAAATAATTATACAATTAATGGGATTTTTTGAGATGCCTTCTAAACCTTTCACCTGGGCTTGTCCCACCACATGACACACCACAACCTGTGCTGATTGAGGGGATAGCTTAAATACTGTCACCTAGTCATTGTTGCATTTTCTGCATGGAATATATCAAATGTTTAGTGTTAGTTAACAACCTCTACCCGCCACCTCACCTGACCCATGTCATCTGACCCAAATTCACCTGACCCCCTCCCACATCCACCACTTGAGAAACTTGAGAAATGTATGCTTACTTCAGCAACCATCTGATGATTTATTTGGTCTTTTTGCTTTGGGTTTGGTAGTGCATCAAACAGTTTTATGATTGTGTCTAAATGTTTTTTCAAGTCATCATCAGAAACTTTGAAGTCCGCAGAGTGCATGATATCATTTCGTACTTGAAGAACCTAAATAAAAGGAAGGCAGAGAATATAGTTACACCAGTCATAAATGCATTCTGCCTATTTTTCATTGTAACATCAAATCAGAATTAGTAAAATTACAAAATAAGAAATTAAAAATGCAGGTCAATTGAGACCCTCTTAATCCGACACCCCTTCTAATTCAAAACCACTTTTTCAAAGGACCAAGTAAGTCTTTAATCTTTTAACACTAAGATAACCCTCTAATTGGAGACCAAACCCGAAACCACCACCAATTTCAACTCCCAAAGTTGGTCTTAAAATTGGAAGGTGAACTGTATTGCTTTAAAATTTAATATAATAAACTCAATAGAGTATTTTTACTTCTAGGTCTTTTGTCATAGTATTCTCAACAATTTTCATCTATGCACTTTTAAGAAGGCTTTTCTATAAAGTTTATCTCTATTTGTTGATATGGTATAAATTTTTATCCATTAACATTAATATTGTTAAATTTTACCTTTTCAATTCTCTTCTTGTTAACATCTGGTTGAAATATTTTACATGTTTTCATCAGGTTCAAAACTCCACTTACATCAGGATCATACTCTCCAGGCGTCTGTCCTCTTGGCATGTAAGTCTTTGCAACTTCCCACTTGTCTTCCGGCCACAGCTTCGTATCAAGGTTAGCCCAATAGGTCATCTTTTGGTTACTGTGTTTATCGAATATATCTTTCTTCCATTGTTGGCATGTTCCGCAGGTATCAGCTGGTCCTTTTTTTGATTTACATGTCGTGCACTTTTGAAGAGAACCATTCTTTCTTTTTAACATTTCATGGAAGGTTGTCATCTTTTGTTCTGCGATGAGTTGTAGGCTGTCATTCAAAATCTTCAATGCTTGCCCAGATTTCATCCAGTTCTTGTATTCTGGTTCATTCATTCGCTGCTGTAACTTCGACATCATGTGGAAATTATTCTAGACTAAAACACAAATAAACAATGCATGGTTTTAGTTATACTTTTGTATAAAGCAGTGCCTGATGGTAGCCACCATGTGTGCACTGAACCATGGCGACATTTTTGTCAATCCCACTGCTCTGTTGCAGGTCATAGTGCAAAGTCTGTTAAAGCCGTGGATTCTATTTGTACTGCATGGTCCATGTCAGTAGCAAGCTATAGGCTAGTATCGTCAAGGTGGGGGAGCTGATGGGGAACACTGTTTCAGTGGGGGTCTCAACGATAGTTGTGGCTCCATAAATTTGTCAACATTGGCTCCGAAAGTCTGAGTGGGGTTCCTATCAAAGGGGCCAACAAGAACCTAGGTCCAGGAATAAAATCACTAGTAGGGAGAGTTAATGGGTAGAGTTTGTATGGCTTATATGGCCTAAACAATATGCTTTAGATCCCTGCTTAAAAAACCAATAAAACGATGACGAACTGTCTTATGCACGGTCGACTTGTTGACTCGGGGTAAATAATAATTGAAAACTGAAGCTGGTATTTTATTTTCTAGGCTCAAACTACCGCCTAACACCATGGCTCAATGCCTGGCTTTTGGGGATTCTACTTATTTGATTGTTCATCTGAAACAACAAAGCAACGTTACAAGGCAAGGCCTAGGCTTGGCTACCACAACCTGGGGCGGATCCAGAATTTTTCAAAAATATAGTGGGGGGGGGGGAGCGGACAGTTTCAATACATAACATTTATTGATGCATTTGAAATTTAAAAATTGCAAAAGAGGGAGGGGGAACTTCCACCCCCCTCCAAGTTCCGCCTACTGGACCCGCGTCTGACAACTGCCACGCTATCCTTCAAAAATAGATCCAGGCCAGGGTGGCGAAGACCAACCAAAGCCCAGTGTGTCAGTCAGCAGTGTGCAGCAACCACAACAACAAAACCTCGGCTCGGCCCGGCCTTGCCGGGCTGGGTGGGCCCCAAGATTCACGGGCCCTGTTCATTCACTTAATCTGTAGGAATCTTGAATAAACCAAAAGCGGATCAAGTGCGATCATCAATATATTCAAGTACTGTAATAAAATATCCGCCTACCGACGACAACCCTGTAAAACCTGCCTTTCTAGGCAGCTAATTCTAGTTGCTGTTGAGAGACGGTTGGGAAATTCCCAATTGCGTATCAAAACATTGGTGGCGCTATATAGATTACTTTACATCAGCGTGACCACTGCTTGGGTATTTACCCAAGATTTTGGGTATTTTGACTTGGTCTTGGGTTCTTGGGTATTCCGTTCAAATCCTTGGGTATTTTATTTTTACTAAGAAAATTAAAAATTTTTGTCATAGAGGAAGAATTAAGAAGAAATTATAGAAGATTAATTAAAATTATAGAAATTATAGGTGCAATTTAAAAAAATCCTCTTTGGTCTTATTGATTAAATCGGTATACTCATACAACTTGTTCTTTATACAGGACCCACTCGCTAGAACAGATACTAAGCACTCAATCACATACTAACAGTACATTAAGTTAAAAACAACACAATATTCTTTAGCACTTGGGTAGCAAAAATGTTTACAATTTCCAAAATATTATAAAAATAGCTTGACAGTAAATGATAATAATTAAAGAGCTCTGACAGAGATTGACTAAAAAAATTCATCAAATATTTCTGAGGAGATAAATATTTCTCACACTTTTGAAAGTGGAATTACAAAGTAAATCCAAAATTACCTGTAGGATTTTGACCCTGTCGATGCCGATGTTGAACTTGAAGGACCGCTTCCGACAGTAAATGAATCTTGCTTGCTAGGTCTAAATAATAAGTTTTTAAAACAATCTAGGTCTAGCCAGCAGCGTTGGATAGGCTAATGTTTTTGGCGCCTACGATATTTCTTCTCACGACCTATCGCAAAATCAACATGAAAAATTCATCCGCATTTATTTTTTGTGTGGAACACAAAAAATCAAATTTCAGTCTTATTTTAAACTTTTTTCTATCTAAACTAGCAATTCCGTATCATATTTATAAATCTTTATAACATTATACAAAAATTAGATTTTTCTTAAAAATTGAAATTTTGCCGGGAATGGGGCTTTAATTTTAATAATTAACACAAACAATTACAATAAAAAATTGGTTTATAAATTGAACTAAAAGGGAAACTATACATGCGAAAAACACGTATTTTTCAAATTTTAATGCATTTTCAGGAAGCTTAGGTAATTTTGGGCAATTTTTGCTGAATCTTGGGTAATTTCGACCCAGACATTGTGGGTATATCAAAAATTGTGAGTGGTCACACTGCTTTACATGAATAATCAGAACGGCAAGCGTTATGGGCGACACAACTGCAGGTTCATGAATAATTAAGTAGCAATATAAGCTGAATATTCATTTAACCTAGCGCTGTATGTTATTGTCGTCAAGGTCCAGTGAACACACACTTCTGCTGTCGTAGCCTACACACTGCTTGTGTAAAGTACCAAAGTGAAATTATATAGGCCTATCCTAGGCCTAGTATTCTTTGTATGTACTGTACCTTGTAAGTAGTACAAAAGAATATAAACAAGCTACCACCCCAGCGGCAGTAGGCCTAATAAACAATGGCCCATGTAGCCGCCAGGCCCATGATATGTCAATGCTAGGCTACCACTAGATGAAAGTCCAAAGCCTAGGTATGTCTTACTTAACATTGATAAATTACCTCGCATTGTCGCTCTACTGTAGGGCATAGGATATGCCTAGTCTAGTTAAGAATTATATTGTATTATATTATAAGGAATAAATAAATAAATTTAAGATTAATATATAAAATATAACAACACCTACGTAGTAGTGCCCGTAATGCAGTAGCGGTGCCCATCCAAGGATTAATATATAAAATATAACAACACCTGCAGTAGCGGTACCTATCTAAGGATTAATGTATAAAATATAACAACACCTGCAGTAGCGGTGCCCACAATGCAGTAGCGGTGCCCATCTAAGGATTTAATATATAAAATATAACCAGGGAGTTGTTTTATTAGAAGGAGTCACAACAAAATCCTCTCTTTTGATATCAGTCTACTTTTCCGACAAGATAACGAAAGCAGAGAGGTAGATAACAGGGTTGCCAGATAGTCGACAGGCTTCACGGCCAAACACACGCCATCTCACGGCCAAATTCGGCCAAACTTTTTTTCGATATCGGCCAAAATTCGGCCAGATTTTAATCCGATTAGAAGACAACAGGTCTCTTATACACATCT